TCTTAAAAGAGTTAGCGTATTCTAATGATTCATAAAATTATTTAAAATGCTTCATTTATGCTTTCTTAGCCCTTAACTTTAGTATATTGATTTATCTATTCATCTGCGCTAAATTAAGAAGCAGAATTAAAAAGGATTCTTTTTTGAAGTTTTCTCAGCTGTTTCAGTGCTATGAGTATTTGATAGCTATCCCTTCTCTTTATTTTTCTATAGTCACATATTAATACTATTTGTCCTTAATTAACCTTTTCATAACCCTCTTTTTAGGTTCATTTTTATTTTATTTATGGTAGCATTAATAACTTTTCATTTTAAATATTAAATAAGCATCTTTATTCATATCTGTGGATTATGATTACACTTTTTATAATGAAGATATTCTCTAAAAAAGTGACTCAGTTTTAAATGTATTTTCTTTTTATTTAGACTTAACTTTAATCTTCGCTGGTTACTTTTTTCACCTCTACTCAACTATTATTGTTTCCTTTATAACAAACATCATGAAACTCACCATTATTTTAAGGACGCACGCATATGTTAATAAAAATATATGTAGATGGTAAATAATTCTTATATTTTTCAGGTTAAATATATCTTTAAGCATGATTGTCTATAGTCAGAACTAGTAGAATTTAGATCTTATTTTCTTTTTAGCTATAATTATGTTTCCATTTTGCTACAAGCTTGGAAATATTGTTGTTTTAGAGTGGCACACTTTTATAAATTTAAATTACACTGATTAAAAAAATGAATTTATTTATTAGTAGGTTTTTTAATTTTTGTTAGGCTAAAGCTCTAAAAAGGTAGACCTGTTATGTAGATAGTTAATGGAGTCAACAAGATAAAAAATAAAATTATCTACAGATTTTTAGAATCCTTGGATAATATTTTCTTAAGAACTTCTATTTTAAGGAACTACACTCGATTAACAAAAAATATCAGTAAACAAACTAATTGTTTTTAACATTTAAAAATCATTTATTATAGTCATTTGAAATTATACCAAATTATTTTTTAATTAATTAATAATTTATCAGAAAGTAGAATAGATGACAATGATTAATCAAAAAGACTATAATAAATAAGAGGCTTAACCATAATATAAATAGGGTGATGCAAGCTATTTTATATCTATGAAGGCGATTTAATAAATTTATTAAGAATCTGCAAGAAACAAATAAGAAAAGTAGGCTCTTGAAGAAATAGATTTTTCTTATTTGACTTTTCTTGCAATTGTAAATAGTAATTTATGTGCAGCATATCTTTCGATTCTGAATGCAAAAACAAATAGAAAACTAGCTTTAGGAATCAAAGATTAGTAAAAGCTATAAAATATAATGAAAATGACTGAAATTTAATGCCTCAATTATAAAAAAAGATGTAAAAACAAGAATGAGGATTTTTAATTGTGTAAAATATTATAATTTGAAGAAGACTTAAAAAATATCAAACTTACCTATTGCGAATGTTTGAGTTTATACAGTATTATAATCGAAAAGCTACTACTAAATTTTATAGAAATAAATGAAATGCTAGTACTGCTAAAAGAATTTACAGAAAAAAGAAGCAAGTTAGAAAGAAATATTATTCAGTAGTTAAAATACAATCGCAACAGCAAAAATTTAAGAAATATTTGTATTGATTTTGATTATTACATGCTTCACAAATCGAACTTGTTAAATTATTATGAAAGACTGAATAGCTAATCAAATTAAAAGTAAAAAAATAAAGAGTACTATGATGAATCAAGCTGCTTTTTGTTTGTATCTCTTTTAGATAAGTCTTTTGGAGTTATTAAAAAAGTTAATGATTCTTTAATTAAAACGCTTGGTTTCTCTGATAAGTAACAAATATAAGAAAAATCTATATTTGAGATCTAAATTTTACCTCAAAGAAATTATTAATAGGAATAAATATAATAAAATTCATTTTTAGAAGAAGTAATTTCTCCAGTTTACAATGATATTTAAAACTTGCCTCTTTTTTTAGCTAAACACTAGGCTGGGTATTGTGTGCCATTTTAACTAAAAGTTCAAACATAAATTATCGATTATGATGATTTTGGTTTGGCTATTTGGGCAAAACCTGTTAAAGATGAATCTATCTATTTATTATTAGATGATGAAAATCCAAATAATATTAAACTTGCAAATAAATTATTTTATAAATAATTTAAAACCATAGATACCTCGTAATTGAAAACAATCAAAATAGATAGTTTGATTCCCATAATCCATTATTTGATCTAGCTTTCTAAAAACTAAAAAAATATAATAAAATTCTAAACTGTACTCATTCAACCAAATTAAGATTTCTTAATAGAAAAATCTATTTTCAGTGATGAATATTTCTTAAATCATTTAAAGTATGCTGATATATTTAGTATAACTGTATCTTTTTAATTCCTAAAAGAATTTAGCTCTATTAAATCAAGTACTTACTTAATAATAGAAGACATATAACCCCAAAATAATTTAAAGGAAAAAAGTAATTTGTTGTAATTCTACCAATAATAAATTAAAGAAATCTGCAAAGTAGATTTAAATTTAGACTTAGACTTAGAAATTCAAGATAATATGACATCAATGCATTAAAATTAATAAGAAAATAATGAATCATCATAATATAGAAGTTTTTTTTAATTTGCAAATAATTTAAGCTTATAAAATGAACAATCAACATTAACTTAAATCCTCAATAGTGTAACAATAAACTAAAATTCTATGTATAAATAAAATGGATAAGCTCTCAAGAATAACATCAGTGAATTAAAAAAAGTAAAATAGAATAAAGTAACTACATTCACAAGTAACTCTCCAAGATAAAATTATGAATTTATGCTTGCGAGTCCAGTAGCACTTTAAATGTAGTAAATAAATGTTTAATTAGAAGAATCGGCGGAATTAAATTCAAAATTCTAAAACTTTGCATAAATTAGCTAAAATCAAGAATTTTAATCTTTTAGTAAGATTTAAACTTAGAAATCGGCTGAGAAATAGTCAATTTTAAATTAGAATGACAAATTTAATTTTAGCTAATTTGAAGAAGCAAATCTTGAAAATGTTCAGACAAGCATGGATGCTGGATAAGACAATTTAACTTCTTAGATTTAAAAATACATAACTGATATTGCTCCACTATCTAGTAAGCGCGGCTTAATTTAAACAATAACATCTCCATTAACAAAAAAAACATAAATACAAAAAATCAATGAAAAGAAAGTTAAAGACTAAAAATATTCAAATAAAAGTTTTTAAACATAAGAGGTAAATAAATTATAATAATAGAATATTGATATTTAATCTATATCTTCTTCCTCAAACAGTGTATAAACGCGGTAAATAATTTATATTTAAATTTTTTTTTTATTAAAATTGATTT